GTGGATGTGTAACCGATGTGATTCTGCAATCTGTATTTGGGGTAAAATTGGGAGTTCATAACCAACTTGAATCTAATGTATGAAATATCATATGTCAAGAGCTTTATAATATTTTGAACAACCAATTAAAAAATTTAAAAAAAATAAATAAATAAATTTAAATCTAATCTAGAAAAATGAGGAGTAATAACTAAAGTAAGCATAAACAGGTTTGAATGCTAGTAATATTGTACTACATGATTTGTGTGTTGGCTACATGTATATTTTCACTTTCTGGTAATTCTCAGCTCTATATTTTGTTGTATGTCAATAAAAATATTATTAAAAATGGTCACTCTCTCTCAACCTGGATAGGAATATCAGTCATTCATTGAGGCCAGCGTTAGCCTGACCATTCTGGAAGTAGAATTTTGCCATCAGCATATAGGGTAATACAAGTGCTTCTGTACATGGGTAAGGGATGCACAGCCACCTTCTCCAAATACAGCATCAAATCATTAAAGAGTTAAGGGGGAGGGGGAATAGAGAAGATGCAAATTATATTTATCACGTGCAACCAAAATTTAATTGTGTATATGCTTATAAATGTGGGTCTCTTTAATCATAAATAACATTTAAAGTAGTATCTGTAAATGATGATTTGATTGATTCCATTGGAAGTTATGTTATCTGTAACAAGATAACCAAAAAGTATGTCATAACTACTGGTTTTACTCATAATTTCAAAACTCATTTATGTTGAATACCAAATCTATAGAACTAAAATTTTTTTTAAAAAAATTCATACCAAAGTAAGCAAGAAAGGACCCTATGTATACAATTCAAAAGTTTTCCTCTTATGTTTGGGTTTCATTGTGCACCTTGATTTATCTCTGGGTCAACACTGATTTATCAATGGTTTACTTTCATTTGAAAATTGTTCCAGAGCCGGGAGCAGTAGCACACACCTGTAATCCTAGCAACTCATAAGGCTGAGACAGAAGGATTGCGAGTTCAAAGCCAGCCTTAGCAAAAACGAGGCACTAAGCAACTTATTGAAACCCTGTCTCTTAATAAAATACAAAATTGGGCAGGGGATGTGGCTTGAGTGCCCCTGAGTTCAACCCCCGGTGCCCCAAAAAATAAAGTGTCCCAGAGGAGCTATGAAAGGAAGAGTAAAACATTACAGAGTGGGTAGAAAAAACAATTCACTATATGGAAAACTTATGAAGTCCTATGTTTATTTAATAACGTTGTCTTTTATGTATTCTCTTTAGCTTTGTGCCCAATAACAACTCTTTTAAATATTGTCATGTGAAAAAATATATAAACTGATTACTTCTTATCCAACTTGACATTATATAAACATTTCATTTACAAGACTGTGCCTGTTTTCAGGTGCTTCAATAAGACCTGTGAAAATGTAATATAATACATGCAAGCCATCCACCAGAAACAAAAAAAAAATGATAACCACATTCTTATTTTACCTTTTTAATTCTGAAAACTAGAATTAATGCAGAAGTGAGGATAAATGGGGATTTCCAGGTTGAGGTGCACACTGTCCTTAAGTCCTTTTCAGTATAAATCTGTGATTCCTGTATAGGCATACTGTGCTTTGTTTCTCCCCAGTACAAATAAGAAAGTTCATTGTCAACTGATTACTCTTTAAAAATTGGAAATGCTTTAATTTTAATAAACATTAAAGCATTTATCACATGCAACCAAAATTTAATTGTGTATATGGTTATAAGTGTGGGTCTCTTTAATCATAAATAACATTTATAGTAGTATCTGTAAATGATGAGCAACCACCTGAGCTGTAATTGTGTGCATTCTTCAGTTCATACAGAGAAGTAATATTGGAGATGATCTGCTTCCATGTTTCCCATAATAATCTAACATGTATAGGAAAGAGGATACCTTCATGCCCATTTAATGAATGTTATTAACAAGTGGTATTCTACATTAATATCTGTAAAATATTTGAATCATTTGATAGAATGATACAGATAGAATCTTTAAAAAGTAATTTAGTTCTACTGTTCAAAAGTGCTTCCAAAACCAGCACACTCACCTCTGGGACTTTCCAAGCAGAAGTTTTAAGTACTCTAATCTCTTTTGAAAACAGAAGGGGGTAATATTGGAAAAGCGCCAGAAGTAAGCCTTGGTACTTCTCATGAAGTGCCACAGTGAAAGTACCTTCTCTCTCAAGTCAGTTCCTTTTAGCAAAATCACATCTCCTCCAGCTCTCCTAACCACTGCTTTTCCCAGCAAGCCTGTCTCCACAGAACATAGGCCAGATAACCCCATGCTATTTCATCTGTACTTAGGATCATTCCTATACATTCTTCACCTAGAGGTTTTTGGTTGTTTGCAGTTCTGAGGCTTATGCATGGCAGGCAGGGGATCAACCTCTGAGCCACATCCCCAACCCCTTTGTTGAGAGTTTTAACATTCACTTACCTAGAACACAACTCTTAATTAAAAATGCAAAAGTATTGGGCTGGGGATGTGGCTCAAGCGGTAGCCTGCTCGCCTGGCATGCGTGGGGCGCTGGGTTCGATCCCCAGCACCACATAAAAAATAAAATAAAGATGTGTCCACCGAAAACTAAAAAATAAATAAATAAATATTTAAAAACTCTCTCTCTCTCTCTCTCTCTCTCTCTCTCAAAAAAAAAAAAAATGCAAAAGTACTTTTTCCTCTATGTAGACCTTCCTGACTTAAAATGGTTAGGCTTATGACCTTTTAGCTTCATCATGGTGTAAAAGTGTCAGCATTCAATATAAACTGTACTGGGAATTTTGAATTTTGTTCTTTTCTACAGTTTCTACAGCTAGCAGTATACAATACAATCTTCTCTTGCTGTGCTGGGCAGAGGCACCAAGCTGCAGCTCCCAGTGAGCCACCAGATCAAGAAGGTAAACAACCAACACTCTGCAAGTGTACTTCGTTGCTTAACTATGACATTCAGTGGATTAGGTACAGTCAATGCATTTCAACTTATACTATTCCTAACTTAGGTATATTTTGATGTAACCACAGCATGCCTCAAGGAGCATTTACAATTTAGAAACATCAAAAATAAGAACAGCACCTTCTTCTTTTCCTTCTGCAACTTACCCAATGTTAAAATTTGGGTGCTTAGTGAGGCAGGACTGACCCTCTAGAGTCAGACAACCAAGATGTGAGTGCCAGCTCTGCCATTCATTGACAAGTGACCCTTGGCAAGTTATCAACCTCTCAGTGCCTCAGTCTTTATCTGTTAAATGAGAGTAACATATTCTTCACAAAGTTGTGATGGTCATATGTGACTCTTAAATATGCTATTAGTCTTTGCTATTATTCTTTCCAGAAACTTCTTTATTATTTGCATAATAAAATCACATTTATGGTTGTTGTTTACAAACATGGGATGATACTGTTCTGTAACTTGCTTCTTTTACTTACTATATATATCATCTTTCCAAAATGACTTAATTTTCTTCAATAGTTGCATTCTATTTTAATATTCCAATGAACCATATTTTCAACCATTTCTCTATTAACAGACAAGCACATTATTTTCCTTTTGTAGTTTTATAAAAATCTGACAGTAAACATCCTTGTGCTTCTCCCTTTAGAGACTGACATGTTAGATTCCAAGATATGGAATTGCTTCATCAAAGTATATTGGCATTTTAAATTTTTTAAGTCAACACTCCCAGATTAGTTTCCAAAAAGCTTTTGGAAACTGGGCAGTGCACCAACCAACCTGAACAGTAAGGAGCTGAAAAGCCAGCAGTGGTGTGACCACGGTGACACAGGTGGAGGAGGCAGAGATGGAAAGATGCTGTTGTAAGTTCTTACAGCACACATAAAGTGGCAGATAACTTTTATATGCAGATTGTGAATCCAGAGCTACCATTAAAACACAAAAGCAAGACAAGATATGGATAAAATGGGCCACCAGTGGAGAGAAAATGGAATCCTAAATAATAATCCAAAACAAAGTAGGAAAAAAAGAAAAAGAGCAAAAGATGAAAGAGAAAAAAAGCAATATGGTAGACTTAAATTTCACCATATAGAATCACATTAAATGTGAGTGGTATAAATAAATGCTCCAATAAAATCGGAAAACTGGACAAAATGAAAAGCAAGACCCAATTATATGCTGTCACTGTAAACAGGCATAAATTAAAAAGAGAATCAGATATACCACGTGTTATTCATAAGAAAGATGATGCGACTGTACAATTAATAGACTTCAGAACCCGACATCTGACTAGTTCTACATCAGAAAGGAATGCCCTGGCTGCAGACCCAAGGGAAGTGTCAAGACTGGTGCCTGGGACCCACCTGAGCTAGGAGGAGGCGGGGCCGAGGCAGGTGTGGTGACTGACAGCCAGAGAAGGAGAGGCGGGAGAGGCAAGAGGAAGTGGCTCTGGACAAAGCCACTGTGAAGGGAAGACCAGCTATGTGAAGGAGGGCTTTATGAAGCTTTGTGGACGGTGTATGGTGTTGATCCGTTAACCGCAGTCACTGAAATCTCGTGCCTCGGTGGTGGTGCGCCCACCTTCGCAAAGCTTAGCCAGGAAGGGATGGGCGCTCTGGACCGGACCCAGCCCGCAAGGCCGGGGGCGCAGGCAGGCAGGGTCTGGTAAAGGTGAAAGACGATTAGGGCGAATGGCCGGGTCAACGCGCCACCAGGAGAGCCGAGGGTAGGGGTTTCCTGGGCTAACTCGTGCACTCTCGGCGACTGACCACCTGGGCCATCAGCGAAGGAACCAAAGGAGACATTGAGCACGGTCAACCCTCCCAGGACGCCCTGCCTTCCCTGACCTCCCCTGCCAGCGCCCTGGGTGCCGCCGCACACGCTCCGCGCTCTGGCACCACTGACCGGCACCGCTCGGCGCGGCCGGTGGAGGGCGCAGGGCCAGCGGCGGCGCCGGGCAGGTGCGGAGCGGGGCGGGGCGCAGCGGGGCGTGCCGACTGGAGCCGAGGACCGAAGCGCCGTGAGGCCGCAGAGGCCGCGGCGCCCAGCCCGCCTGCACCGCGCCATGGCCCCGCGCGCCCGGCGGCGCGGCCCGCTGCCTGCGCTGCTGGCGCTCTGCGCACTGTTCACCGCGCTGCAGGTAAGGAGCCGCGCCGCGCTCGCGCGGCCCCACGCCCTCTCGGGAGCTCAGGGCAAGAACCAGGAGCCGGGCGGCGACACCGCTGAGACCAGGGGATCGTGCGTGGCACTCTGGCTCCTCTGCCTCCAGAAGCAAGAGCTAAGGCTTTTGGGGGTGGAGACGGCGGAAACTTGGGTTTTCTTGGAGGTTAATGGAGGTGGACGGTGGAAGGAGGGAAGGCGAGTGGAGACTACTGGGGCCCAGAAGGAGGAGGTGTCCCGGACCCAAACACTAGGGCACCGGCTCTTCCAGACGCCTCACTAAATCTCAGACTTTGATGGTTCCTTTTGATGTCATCCAAACTCTTCTTGAGCACCTACTAAGCGCCTGGGGCAAACAGATCCTGCAGAGACACATAGGTATAGAATGACACCCGATGGGAACAGAGAATGCGCGTGAGGAAAATCCAGGGTCCAGACAACCACCGCGTCTGATATTAAAGAGGACATCTCTCAGGGTTCTGCTTTCAGACCCTTTGAGCCCTTCAGGACTACTGGGTCACTAAGTTGGGTTACACACCCTTCCTTATCTCAGTTTCCTTTACACTAAAGAACAGAGCAGTCCCCTCCTCGGGATGCTGTCCTGAGTGTACAGGGACAGAATTTAGAAGGTTCTTCAGAAAAACTGGCGAACTTACTTTTTTGTGTCCTCCAAACATTGGGTCCACCAGTTCAGTTTCTGGTCCTGAATAACCATAGAATCACTTGTTCTCGGAAACTCTTTGACCAAGTTTAGGCAAAATCCTTTTTTTGCAATTGGAGAAATCTGGGTACCATGATATGCTTCAAGACAATATTGGTGCCAGAAACAGGGAGCCCCGCTCTCCATGATCTCAATCTGGGACTGGGCTGCGCAGGAATGCATAGAGGCCCACAGAGGCTAATCTCACGGTGGCCAAGGCCCTTCTGAGATTCCCAAGTCCGGGATGCACAGGGCCTCCCTGATGTCCAACTGCAGCTCTGTGGAGTAGGCAAATCAGTTCTGAAGAACCCACCCACCACGCAGCCAGATATGAATCCAGAAAGAACGCCGAATCCTTTGATCCTTGAATCCAGGGGTGGGTTGCCTTTTGTGGGAACCCCCTAGGGCCACCCTTACCCGCATACTTAGGAGCACCTCATGACTGATAAAGAGCTTCAGTCCCTTGGGCTGGGACTGGGGCTCAGTGGCAGAGCTCTTGCCTATCATGTGTGAGGCACTGGGTTTGATCCTTAGCAGCATATAAAGATAAACAAAATACAGGTATGCTGTCCACCTAAAACTACCAAAAAAAAAAAAAAAAGCCTTCAGCCCTGCTAGCAGGGCTGCTTGATATTGAGTAGCAGCTTCCCAGACATTTTCTGCCATCCAGGATTTTCAGAAGATTTCTCCCTACAGTTATCAAGTAGGTACTGATTTTCTGTCCTGGAGAAGAGCTCTATAGTGCAGAAAATCTGGCACACCAAATACTGTACTAGAAAAAATCATTTATTCCTGAAAGTTACTCAGAAGGAAGGGTAAATGTTGGTGGTTTTCTTGGTTTCAGCAGTTTGAGATTTCCCTTCTTGATTCAAATTGGCTTAGGCTTCTGTTAACATCTGTCCATAGCAGGGCACTGAGTCCTGTGTACTTGGAGACCTACATTTGGAGTGAGAAGAGAGGAAAAAGCCAGTTTAGGTGAAAGCCTTGGCAAAAATAGTGGGAATGTGGTGAAGACGGAAGCAGAAAGTTCTAAGGATGATTCATTGTCATTTCCAATCATATGGGTCTCTTAGGATGGTTGAAGGAAAAGGAGGAGGAAAAACCTAATGGAATTTTTTCATTTTAAGCCTTTCAGGTGTTGCTTAATTAAGTGTTCAACAGGTTGAACAGGGTGCTACCTTATTTGAACTAAAGGAGTAGGGCTTCAGTGAACAGCTAGCCACCTAAGAAAAACTTGCCTGGCCACGCAGCCAAAAGGCATCTCCTATTGCTTTTGAAAAACTACATTCGTACCTAAGTGTATGACATGCTCTAGGTTCTAATGTTAATAGAAAGTTCTATCAAAAGAAGTTTAATTTTCAGAGTGAATTTTCAACAAGTGCTGTTTACCCTGTGTTTTCCTTTAAGCTGTTTAATTATGTTCACTTTCTTGTAACAGGAGGCATATTTTACTAAGACTCCCAAGAAATCAATTGGGAACATGTGCTGCTAAAATGCAGGTTATAACTCAGATGATACCATAGATAATTAGGATATGCATTTGTAAGCATACCTAAACTTCGGCATTGGTCAGTCCCAATCAAACAACACAGGGATGTTTTTCCGCTTTTTTAAGTTTGTACACAAGGTCACCTGGGGAAATGCATTCTTTCTGGAAAGTGGGGCTAGATACAGTGTTACAATATTATCCCCCAAAGACACTGTTGGTTACAGGCATTCCCTGTGTTCAATTACTGCACTTTGGTCAACCTGCTCTTTTAATCCCAAGACTCAGGACCTTTACTGGCAATCCAGGGAAGTTGTTAGTGATCACACCCTGGGCAGGTCTTGAGGAACTGCTTAGTTGGGGAATTGATTGTACAAAGTAAAGCTGGCAAAAACAGCCTCTGGAAAGTGAATTATGCTGGGCACAGTGGCACGCACCTGTGATTCCAGCTCTTCAGGGGGCTAAGGCAGGAGAATCAAAAGTTCAAGGCCAGCCTGAGCAATTTAGCAAGACCCTGTTTCAAAATAAAAAATAAGGACTGAGGTTGTAGCTCCGTGGAAGAGTGCTTGCCTAGCACGTGTGAGGCACTGGGTTCGAGTCTCAACACCACATATAAATAAATAAAATAAAGGTCCTTCAACAACTAAAAACTATTTTTAAAAATAAAAAATATAAAGGGCTGGGGATGTGAATCAGTGGTAAAGCACCCCTGAGATCAATCTCCAGTACCAAAAAAAAAAAAAGAAAGAAAGTGCATTTTGTGCAAACATTGTACATTTATGTCACATTAGATTCAAACCTACCTGGAAGGTTTTAAGTTTTACTTTTTTTTTTTTTTAAAGAAAGAGTGGGAGAGAGAGAGAGAGAGAGAGTTTTTTAATATCTATTTTTTAATTCTCGTCGGACACAACATCTTTGTATGTGGTGCTGAGGATCAAACCCGGGCCGCACGCATGCCAGGCGAGCGCGCTACTGCTTGAGCCACATCCCCAGCCCCAAAGTTTTACCTTTTAAAACATTTCTATAGGGCTGGGTTTGTGGCTCAGTGGTAGAGCACTAGCCTAGCACATGTGAGGCACTATTCGATTCTCAGCACCACATATAATCAATTAATTAATTAATCAAAGGTCCATCGACAACTAGAAAAATATTTCCAAAAAAATCCTGTAATTCTATCTCTGTCGGCTTGTATTTATGACTAAAAATTTTTTTAGATATAATAAGAGTATTTACCTTTAATTGGTTTTTACGTCCATCTTTCCGATGGGTTTCAAGTAAGGACATACAGACACAGACTCTTCCTTAAGATAATTGACGATGCGCAGACCTAAGGGCAGTTGCCCGCGTTCCCGGGACATTTTTTAAAGAGTGTAAAACACTGCGCTGGTGAGAAACAGGACGAAGACATCATTGTGTCTTCACAGGTGCCACGTGCCACAGTGTAGTGGAGAGCACAAGGAGAGGGAAACTGCCAATGTAATAAAGCAGCCTGCGGTGACAGGAGGGCAGAGGGCAGGGCGGGAAGGCCCAGTGTGTGCAGATGGAGGATGGTAGTGAAGGGTAGGTGGGGAGGGAGTCAGGGTCAGGGAAGAAGTGGTTGGAGAGGTGGCCGAGGAGGAAGGCTTGCCAGGTGGGGAGGACAGTGAGAGTGGTCCAGGGGTCGTGATTCCAAGGGAATCCTGCTAGAAGGAAGCCACTTATGTTCTGACCTCTGGGCTACACAGAGCTCTTCATTCAGGGGCTCCCAGCAAACAGCTGGGGCGTTACACTTTTACAGTTCTGCGATAACTCTTGATAACTCTTGTATGGTCCTTATTGAGGTGGTAGGGGAGACAAATAAAAAGCAGATAGGCCAAGGGCTTTGGCAAGGCCCGTGGGGCAAGCCCTGGAGGAAATCCCCTAGGGTGGGGCTGGGCTGCAGCAGGTGGGTGCTCCAGGCCATTTTTCTTCCTGATGCCCAGCCCGTCCTAGAGGTGACTTGGATACGGATGAATTCCCGCTGGAGAACACACATGCTTAAATGTGGGATTTTAGTGCATTTGGCTGATAAATATTTCAGATGCCTCCCCTGTTATTTCCTTTCCACCACCTCCCCCCAAATGGCCAGTCTGTGATAGGAGGAGCTCCCTCTCTGTGATGATAAGGAACTATGAGTCTGCCTTTTCAGTTATCTACCAGTCCTTACACCAGGAAAACTGAAACAATAAAGATGTGTCCCTGAAGGTCAATAAATCAGTGTTTTATGAGGCCATGGAAAGGGGAGTTCCAAACCTGGGCCTCCTTTGCAGAATGTTGTTCTAAGAAGATGTAGTGAGAACTTTATCTGCCATGTAGTAGTAAAAAAATTTCCCTCATTCTATTTGCCTATTTGGGGAGTGCATGAGGAAAAAAGAAATAGTGTTTTCTCACCTGGTGTGTCCAGTGGATTCTAGGATGTGTCTGGGCTCCCCCACGCCCCCTGTGGATCTGTATCCTGCCCTGATGGTCCTCAGCTCTCCAGGTGATTCACACCCTGGGGCATCTATCCACTGGCCAGGTGGCCACCCCAGCAGAGCTGTGGCCTGTCTGCTGTCTCCTGCCCCATCCACAAGGGCATCATACCTGCCCCTGAGCCCACGGGCCTGGCTTGGTGTGCCCCAGACCTGGATGAGTAAGCTTCTGCCCCGTGGGTAGTTTTTCCCTGAGCACCATTCTGTCCTCTCCCTGATTATAGGAAGGCCTTTCTCTGTTTCCCACTAGGGCAATGTGTGGGCTTTCTTGAATATCCACTGCTAGACACAGTTTAGGTTTTTGC